TTATTTTTTATTTTGAGACAAGGTCTTGCTAAGTTGCTGAAGCTGGACTCCAACTTGTGATCCTCCTGCCTCAGCCTTCCAAATAGGTGAGATCACAGGTGTGCATCACTAGCCTGCAGTTTTAAATTTTTGATGTAGTCCAATTTTTTCTTTTGTGGCCTATTCTTCTGAGAACTTAGCCAAGAAATTATGGCCAAAGCCAAAGTCATGAAGCTTTCTCCCTGTGATTTTCTGAACAAACTTTTCTCCTAACCCCATGCAGTTCACTTAACCCTGTGACACCAGATGTGAAGGGACTTTTTTCCACACACCAACTCTGTAGCGGATACCAATGGGGTGTCCTATAATTTAACTCAATTCTGACACTATCCACCTGGAGAGAGCATCTGATCCCACAGGTTGTAGGCTCAGTACTACAAGCCAGCGCCCGCTTTGGATGCCAGTCATGAGTCCCAGGTTGTCACCTGTACTTCTGACCAACCATGCGGGAGATTCCCATGATCCGCTCCTCAGAACTGATGGATTTGCTAGCATGGCTCACAGAAGTGAGGGAAGCAACCGACTAATTTTTTATACAGACAGTCCCCAAGTGACTGATGGTAACTTAGTATTAGATGGTAACTTTCACTTAGAATTTTTAAATTTAATTTAATTTTTTAATGCTGAGGATAAAACCCAAGGCCCCCAGCATGCTAGGCAAACACTCTACCATTGAGCTACACCCTCAGCCTGATTTTTTAATTTTATACTGGTACAAAAACTATGTGCATTCAGTAGAAACCATACGTTAAGATTTTTTTTTAAATTTTTTTTATTGGTTGTTCAAAACATTATAAAGCTCTTGACATATCATATTTCATACATTAGATTCAAGTTGGTTATGAACTCCCAATTTTACCCCAAATACAGATTGCAGAATCACATCGGTTACACATCCACATTTTTACATAATGCCCTATTAGTAACTGTTGTATTCTGCTACCTTTCCTATCCTCTACCATCCCCCATCCCTCCCCTCCCATCTTCTCTCTCTACCCCATCCACTGTAATTCATATCTCTCCTTGTTTATTTTCCCATTCCCCTCACAACCTCTTATATGTAATTTTGTATAACAATGAGGGTCTCCCTCCATTAACATGCAATTTCCCTTTTCTCTCCCTTTCCATCCCACCTCATGTATCTGTTTAATGTTAATCTTTTCTTCCTGCTCTTCCTCCCTGCTCTGTTCTTAGTTGCTCTCATTATATCAAAGAAGACATTTGGTATTTGTTTTTTAGGGATTGGCTAGCTTCACTAAGCATAATCTGCTCTAGTGCCATCCATTTCCCTGTAAATTCTATGATTTTGTCATTTTTTAGTGCTGCGTAATACTCCATGGTGTATAAATGCCACATTTTTTTTTATCCATTCATCTATTGAAGGGCATCTGGGTTGGTTCCACAGTCTAGCACTTGTGAATTGTGCTGCTATGAACATCGATGTAGCAGTATCCCTGTAGTACGCTCTTTTAAGGTCTTCAGGGAAAAGTCCAAGAAGGGCAATAGCTGGGTCAAATGGTGGTTCCATTCCCAGCTTTCCCAGGAGTCTCCATACTGTTTTCCACTTTAAGATTTTTTAAAAAAAATTTTTTAGTTGTAGTTGGACATAATACCTTTGCTTATTTACTTATTTTTATATGGTGCTGAGGATCGAACCCAGCGCCTTGCACATGCTAGGCAAGTGCTCTACTGCTGAGCCCCAGCCCCATACTTTAAATTTTGAATTTTGATCTTTGCCTGGACTAGCCAGGTGCAGTAAGGTGTAATCTGGGGCAGCAAGCCACAGCTCTGAGTCTGCCCCGTGACACCAGAGGAGACATCACTGATGTGTACCACTGAGCCACATCCCCAGCATATTTTGTATTTTATTTAGAGACAGGGTCTCACTGAGCTGCTTAGGGCCTCACTTTTGCTGAGGCTGGCTTTGAACTTCAGATCCTCCTGTCTCAGCCTCCCAAGTAGCTGGCATATGCCACTATGCTCTGCAACCCTCAAGCTTTTTAGCTTTCAAAAATGATTGCAAGGGGCTGGGGACATGGCTCAAGTGGTAGCGCGCTCGCCTGGCATGCGGGAGGCACTGGGTTCGATCCTCAGCACCACATAAAAATAAAATAAAGATATTGTGTCCACCTAAAGCTAAAAAACTAAATATTAAAAAAAATGATTGCAAGTCTGGGTGTGGTGGCACACCGCTGTAATCCCAGTGGCTCAGGAGGCTGAGGCAGGAGGATCACAAGTTCCAGACCAGCCTCAGCAACTTAATGAAGTCCTAAGCAACTCAGAGAGACTCTGTCGCAAAATAAAGTAAAGGACTGGGGACTTGGAAGCAGTTAAGCATGCTTGGGTTCAATCTGAACAAACTTTTATCAAAAAATGAAAAATAGGGCTAGGGATGTGGCTCAAGCGGTAGCGCGCTCGCCTGGCATGCGTGCGGCCCGGGTTCGATCCTCAGCACCACATACAAACAAAGATGTTGTGTCCGCCGAAAACTAAAAAATAAATATTAAAATTAAAAAAAATATATCTGGGAGGAGCTGTAAATCTAGCTCAGCAATAAAGCCCTGGGTGGCCTAGCATGTGTGAAGCCCCAGGTTCAATGCAATTGAAGTATAAAAAAAATCGTGAAATTCTTTATTTCCTGGTGCATCTTTTTTAGTTGACAACTAAATGACAGGATTTTGATCATTATAAAATGTAAAATTTTAATTTTCTAAAACCTTTTTATGTGACACATAATAATTATCCATAGTTATAGGGTACAGGGTCGTATCACAACACATGTCTATAACGTGTAATGATCTGATCGGATAACTGGCACATCTATCATCTCAAACATTTGTCATTTCTCTATGTTGGGAATATTGAAATTGAGCTATTTTGAAATATAAAATTAATTGTTGCCAATCATAGTTATCCAACTGTGCAGTAGAACATTAGAAGGGATTTCTCTTGTCCAATTTTCACCATCCTCTCTCCATCTCTTCCCCCTCTATCAAATGGAAAATCTAAATGGCAGTGCATTTCTGGTAAGATGAATTCAGGGGGCTTTTCTTTTTTTGTGTGTGGGGGGTGGGGGTGCCAGGGATTGAACTCAGGGGCACTTAACCACTGAGCCATACCCCCAGCCCTTTTTTGTTTTTTATTTAGAGACAGGATCTCACTGAGTTGCTTAGTGCCTCACTATTGCTGAGGCTGGCTTTGAACTTGAGATCCTCCTGTCTCAGCCTCCTGAGCTGCTGGAATTACAGGCGCACACCACCGCACCCAGCTGAGAGGGCTTTTCTTAATTTTCCTTCTACCTGTGGATGAATGTCCCTGTTGCTACAAGGAGACTGAATTGAGCCTCCATTGGACTCCTATTTTTCTTTTTTATATACTATTAAATTCCAGTGACCACTGTTACAAATGAATACACTTTTGGTGGCTTAAACCAGTAGACATATGTCAGGTCCAGTGGTGCACTCCTGTAATCCCAGGGCTCTGGAAGCTGAGGCAGGAGGATCATGAGTTCAAAGCCAGCCTCAGCAACTCAATGAGACTCTGTCTCTAAATAAAATATAAAAAAGGGTAGGTGGGTACTGGGGCTGTGGCTCAGTGGTAGAGCACTCGCCTAGCATGCGTGAGGCACTGGGCTGGATCCTCAGCACCACATAAAGAAATAAATAAACAAAATAAAGGTATTGTGTTCATCTATGAATAAAAAAAGAAATTCTTCAAAAAGTGGGGGGGCAGGGGATGTGACTCAGTGTTTAAGCACCTTTGAGTTTAATCCCTGGCATAAAAACAAACAAATACTAGACATGTGTTCACTCACCATTCTGGACGTCAGAAGTCTGAAATCAGCATCTCTGAGCCGGAAGTCAAGGTGTCAGCAGGGCTGTGTTCCATCTGGAGTTCTAGAGGTGCCTTGGTCCCTTGTGCCTTTCAGCTTCTGGTGGCTACAGTATTCCCTGGATCATGGGATCACTCCAGTCTCCAAAGGCAGCACCTTTATTTTATTTATTTCTATGTGGTGCTGAGGATTGAACCCAGTGCTCCACCCCTGAGCCCCAGCCCCAGCCTGAGGCCAGCACCTCTGAACTGCTCTCTGCTCTGGCTTCACACCACCCTCTCCTATTTGTTGAGATCTCCCTCTGCCTCCCTCTTTCATGGTTGCGTTTGGAGCCCACTAAAACCGTCCCAGACTCCTCCCATTTTAAGATCCTTACCATCACTGGGTGCAACGGTTCACACCTGTGATCCCAGCAGCTGGGGAGGCTGAGGCAGGAGGATTGGGAGTCCAAAGCCAGCCTCAGCAATTTAGCAGGGCCCTAAGCAACTCAGCAAGACCCTGTCTCTACATAAAATATAAAAAGGGCTGAAGATTAGAGTTGTGTGACTCCCCATCTGGTTCAGTATGAGTTTTAAATAGCCAATAATTTCACTGGTTTTAGTTTTTTTTTTCCTCTTCTTTCCTTCTCCCCCCCCACTATTGTTGTGCTAGGATGGAACCCAGGAGCCCAGGGACTGGGGAATGCCAAGAAAGCACTCGACCACTGAGCTACACCCCAGATTTTGTTTTAATTTTTATTATGTAGTTGATAGAAATTTTAGAATTACATTCATAGTTTATATTGTATTTCTACTGAAAAGTGCTACTCTACGGGGACAGAAGACAATTAACACAAAAAGTGAGTATATTGTGTTCTATGGTAGAAATAACCCAGGGGTGCTTAACCACTGAGCCACATTCCCAGCCCTTTTTAAAAATATTTTATGTAGAGACAGGGTCTCACTGAGTTGCTTAGGGCCTTGCTAAGTTGCTGAGGCTGGCTTTAAACTCTTGATCCTCCTGTGTCAGCCTCCTGAGCTGCTGGATTTACAGATGTGCAACACCATGCGTGGATTATATGGTACATCTTGAGGAAAAAAAAATAAAGAAAAAAAATTGTCGTTGCTATAACAAATCACCACAATCTCAATGACTTGAACAAGTTTATTATTTTATAGCTCTCTAGGTCAGAAGTCCAGAACAAAAGCCGAGTTCCTTCTGAAGTCCCAGGGGACAATCCATGCCTTGTCTTTTAACTTCTGGAGTGTCCGCCTTGGTGTCCACATCACTCTGATTTCTACTGGCATCATTGCTCCTCTGACTCTCCCTCTACCTTTTTTTTTTTGGAGCTGGGATTGAACCCAGGGCCTTGTGCATGCGAGGTAAGCACTCTGCCAACTGGGCTATTTCCCAGGCCCCTGTCTCCCTCTTATAGGGACCCTTGAGCCAGCACACTGCTAACCTTCTCACATCTGTCCTTGATGTGAGCACACCTGTGATGTGTTAGGTAGCATATTCACAGACTGGGGGGGGGATTAGGTTGAAACATCCTTCTGGGGTGTCATTATTTTGCCTATCACCGAGTCAGGTGGGAGTAGACATGGTTCTACAGAGGGCTGTCAGGGAGAGCCTCCCTGAGGTGACATCTGCGTGAGGACCTGGAGGGGAGACAGGGTACACTGCGGTTATTAGGGAAGGGCACTCCAGGAAGCAGGAACAGCTCTTGCCAAGGCCCTGAGGTGGCCATTCCCTTTTCCTGGGAACCCTTCTGTCTTGCTGTCCCTAATCCGCGCACTGTCCCAGCCGCCTTTGTATCTTGCTTGAGGAGTAGAGAGGGTCTGAGACGGCTAATCATCAGTGGCCCCTGGCACAGTAGCGACTGCCCATGGCTCCTCAAATGGCAGGTTGGCCTGTGGGGGTGCAGGGAGCCTGAGTCAGAAGGAAAACAGGTCCCACTCCCGCCTCCTCCCGCATCCCAGACTGGCGGTCACCTGAGCTCCAAGTGGGTTCTGTCCGTGCAGCGTGCGCCTGCGGTGCCACTGGCGAAGGGAGTCACGGGCCTCGGAGCTGAGCCCCTGGGGTGCGCGGCCCGCGTCAGGCTGGTAGTGGGCGATGTGGTGCAGCGCCCCAAACCACGTGGTCAGGTAGTACCCGGCTGGGGACGAGAAGGGGCGGTCAGCCGCCTTTCCTGCTGAGCAGGAGGAGTGTATCTGGGCCTTGGTGTTCTGGAGATGGGGACTCACCCTCTCCCCGTAGCTCCTCCGGATCCAAGAGCTCCATTAGAAACTCCACGTCCAGCTGTGTCTCCCCAATGTGCGGACTCCAGATCAGCTCCTCGGTCAAGGCCGGCAGGAAGGCGTCGGCCCCCTGGGGTTCTGGGAAAGCCAGAGGACAGGTCCTGAGGTGGCGGGGGCTGTGGAGACATCTCCCATCCGATCCCCAGGACCGCGAGACCTGGCTGCCACCCCACCTTGTCCAGTATGCAAACACCTCCTACCAGGACCGCCACCCTGCCACCCTCTTCTTCGACGTGCGCACAGGTGCATCCTACCTGGCTCCCCCAGCCCTCAAGCCACTGCACTCCCAGTTAGACGCCCACGGCTCCTTTACTCCTTTACCTTGGTTGTCGCCGCCCGCCAGGCCCGAGTACACGTCGCTGCACACCTCCAGCAGGAGCGCCACCTTGCGGCGCGGCGCGCATGCGGCGTGCAGGTGCTCTAGGCGCGCGTGGATGCGGTTCCGCAGGGAGGGGGCGGGGCTTGGACCCTCAAGCCCCGCCCCCTGAGCACCTGGAGGCCCCGCCCCCACCCGCAGGGCTATTTGCCGCCGCCTCAGTCGCCTTAGTTCCTGGGCGCGGAGCGTGCGGAGTCGCGTCCACAGTGCAGGCTTCAGCGGCTCCAGCACCGCCCGGCAAACGGCCGTCTCCACAGCGGGACCTGCGGGGCGTGGGGCGAGTGAGGACAGGCCACCCAGTTGATCCACTATGGCAGGCCGTTACCCCTCCCTAGCTTCTGGTCACCCACAGGGTAGATAGAGGTGTGAACACGTGCCTGGGACAAAGCGTAGGGCTGTCCACGCACGTGTGAGATGGTGCGTGGGGTGCACAGGTTCTTTTATTTATTTGCTTTTTATTTAGAGACAGGGTCCCACTGAGTTGCTTAGAGCCTCGCTTTTGCTGAGGCTGGCTTTGAACTCGCGATCCTCCTTCCTCAGCCTCCCCAGCTAGGAGGGCACCACCCCGCCCGGTTGGTGAACGGGTTGTGACTTGCAGGAAGGGGCAGCGAGTGGAGAGGAAACAGGTGTGCGCACCGATCAGGAGAAAGAAGGTGGATTCGAACACATAGGTAGGGCCAAGTGAATGCGCACCTGAGGCCGTGGGGGTTCCCTTCCAGCCCTCCCCATTACCAAGATCCTCGTCCTTCTGGGGGCCCCCCAGGCCCCTGTTCCCAAAGACGGCTCTGACATCGGGGTCTTTTGACAAGTGATCCTGGAGGTCAGTAAGGAGGTGCCGCACATCCTGCAGCAGCTCGGTGGCCGGGTCTCCTGGCCTGTGGGAACCCACGCAATCCGAGGTGAGGCGGGCCCGGAAGCCCCGGTACTGCCTGGCCACGTAGCTGCTCCGCGCCCTGGCCAGAGCTCGGACGTGGACAGTGAGCACATCCTCCGGGGCTTCCACGTCATCCTTGTAGGGGTCGTTGTCCTCATCCTCCTCCTCTTTCTCCTCCACCAGACTGGCCAGAGCCGGCCCAGGAGGGCGCACCTCTGGGCTGAGCGGCCCTTCCACCCAGGAGACCCGGTGCTGGACGGGGTTCCTGGTGGCTGGAAGTGAGGAGAGGGTTGGGTTCCACAGAGCAGCGGGAGCAGCACCCTTATCTCTCCCAGGGCCCCAGCTCACCTGGATCATGCCTCTGGGCAGTCTCTGGCTCTGTTGTTTGGGGGTTCTGCTCTGTTCCCCAGCTTCCATGAGTCTCCAGGTAGAGCTGGTTCACCACAGAGAGCACCCTCCCTGAGGGGTCACCTTGTACCCTGCCAACCTGCACAGAATCTGGAGACCAGCACAAGTAGGTATCCCAGGTGTCTTGGGGTGAACCCTGGTCCCTTCAGAGCACCAGGAGACTTAGTCCTAGCCTTCATCACTCTAGACCAAGAATGGAATGCCGCTGGGTCCCTCCTTTTCCAATTCTGTCCTCTGTTAGGACTCAGGAGTCCAGGATCCCATCTCTGCCTCCCTAAAGGACCCCCAAATCTAGGCCTACAGCTCTCTCTGATCCCTGGCGTTGTCCTCCTTCAAACCCAGTGATCTGGTCCCTCAAGTCCAGTCCCTGTGGAGTAGTGGGCCAGCAAGGCCACCCGCCCTTCTTTACCTTTGTGTTTCTCTCCGGGCGCCAGAGTAGAAGAGGGCAGGAGCAGTGTTTTAGGCAAAACATCCCTGAGAAAAGAGAAGAGAACTACAGTGTCCATCTTAAGGACAGTCCCCCTGAGCCCCTATGATGGGTGACCGGTACCTGCTAGCTGATAAGAAGGCCAGGAGGTGGGGTAGGTCTGGCATGCAGAGGTTGGAGGTCTCCAGGGACACACCTGGGGGCAGGAATCAGTAGGGATGAGAACAAAGAAAAAAAGAAAAAAAAAAAAAAGCAACAAAACTGGAGGGTTGGCAGATCGTCTCTCCTGGGACTCTCTACCACCATCCCTGCAATCTACCCCCATTGCAGAGGCCTTCAGAACAGGGACATCAGGGACATTTCCATTCCTTAGAGTCCCCATCTTTTCCTCCCTCTTGATTCTTGCATCCCGCTGATGCCACCAAATAGGATTCAGTCATCAGACAAATATTTAGGAGACAAATTCACTGGCTTCCTGTCTCCTGTGGTGCATTTTCAGTGCTATGAACAAAACAGAGTGATTAAAATGACTGGGACCATCTTAGCTCTGGTGGTCAACAAAGGTTACATTTCTGCAGTGGCCCAAAGGACGGAAACTAAGTCCACTCCAGGGAGACCCAAAGCAAACAAAGGCCCTGCAGTGGGAACACTTACCATGCTCAAAGGGCAGGGCATGGTGGGACCAGAGTGCAGGAGGGGCATTAACGAAGAGGTTTCCATCGCACAGCGTCTTGTAGGCCGCGATGAGAGGCTTAGATTTGTATCTAAGTATGTTGGGTGGTATTGGCAGGGTTGGAGGAAGGGCTGTGCAAAGTGCAAGTGATGTCTGGGAAGACCACCCTGGTAGCTGTGCTCAGAGTGGATTTCAGCAAGACCAGAGCGGGTGTTTGGGTCTGTAACAAAGGCTCAGTCTATGGTGGCTTCAACAGACATTTATCCCTCAACATAACTAGACTACCGGGCAACAGGTGATGGGGGCTCAGACTTAGGTGTCAGGGTCAGGCAGGGTGGGGCCGACTTAGGAGATATTCTGGAATGAAAGCTGACAGATCCTGGGGATACATTTGGACTGGAAACCACAGGTAGGTGCCTCACCTCCAGGCAATTTCTGGATCCTGTAGGTGTTGACTTCTCCTGGTGAAGGTCCTGTCTTCAACACCAGGACTTGGCTGGGGTCATGTCCCGTGACCAGGAAACTCTGGGGGCGGGGTGGAGGCAAAGGTCAACTTGACAAGCGTATCTGTAGATATAAACTCTCCCCCTACTCTGAGTTCCATGTGGGTGAGACTGGTTCCCCCAAGCCTCAGGACGTGGGACCGTGACTGCTCTCTGCCTACTTTTTGGTTCAGGGCATGTGACCAAGCTTAGCCAGTGGACGTCTTCCACGGGAATTTTGCTGAAGCACTTTGGAAAACCTCTCTCTCTCTCTCTCTCTCTCTCTCTCTCAATGCTGGGGATAGAAACCAGGGCCTTGCGCAGGTTAGGGAGCATGCCACCCCTGAAACACATCTTTAGCTCAAAAGATCTCTTTTTACACTGGGGTTGCTAAGTTGCTGAGTTGGTGGGATAGATTCCTGGTCTGGGGACTTTGTCACCATCTTTGCCACCACAAAGACAGTGTCCTCCTGAGGAGGAAGATGTGATAGACCCTGTTAGTTGTCCTTTCCAAATCTAGCCCATATTCCTCGCAGAACTCCTTGTTCAACGCATCAGCATGCCGAGCCACAGGAAAGGGCGAAGGATCTGACTGGAGTGGCTCTTAGCTTTGACCGTATAACTCCCAGGTGAGCTTGTCCCCCCCTTACCCCCTGCTCCCCCAGCAGTGACTGAACTCGGGGCCTCGTGTATGCTGGGCAAGGGCTCTACCACTGAGCTATCGCCCCCGCCCTCCAGGTGAGCTTTTATTTATTTATTTATCAGTTACCACCAAGCCACATCCTCCCCAGCTGTTTTTTCTTTTTCTTTCTTTTTCTTTTTTTTTTTTTTGAATTAGGGTCTCACTAAGTTGCTGAAGCTGGCTTTGAACTCGTAATCCTCCCGCCTCAGCTTCCTGAGCCACTGGGATTGCAGGCGTGTGCCACTGCACCCGGCCAGGTAGATGTTTTTAAATATTGCCATCTGGACCCAACCCAGGTATTCTACCTTTGCTTTTCCTGGTCAAAAAGGGAAAAAGAAAGATACAGACACATCTGGGAACTCCTTTCTTCCTGCCTGGAAGACATGTGGGCTGGGCCTGGGGAATCATGGGGGAAGTCCTAAAGAATTGCAGAGCAGCTGGCCTTGATGTCACTGAGCTGCTGGCCCAGAGTGGCAGCTGCCTTTCTAGTTATGTTGAGGGATAAATGTCTGTTGAAGCCACCATAGACTGAGCCTTTGTTACAGACCCAAACACCCAGAGTTTCCACCGTTGAAAGCAAAGCCAAGAAATGGGAGGAGAAGAAAGCCATAGGTTGTCTGAGGCTCAGAATCCAGACCTTCCAGAAGATACTTTTACTTCTGGGTTTTTTCGTTTCTCACAACCAACAGGGTCCTGCCTGGTGGTCCCAAGTGTCATGGGAGGGTCCTCAGCTCTGAGACTCACCCCTAGTGGCCACAGCTCCACCAGGGCCTTCGCATCATTGGCATCCAATTCAGGGACCTGCCACACACCACGCGTCCTCTGCAGGCGAAGAAGTGGGGTGCCGAGGACCCCTAGAGGAGTCTTGCCTGCTCCATTTTCCTGTGGCAGGACCAGCCCATGATGTACGGAGTCCAGGAGGTCAGGGATCAGAAGTGGGCAGTGTGACATGGAGCTGGGTCAAAGGTGCAGACAGGGGCAGCCTAGGGACAAAGGGTCAGAGACGGGGCTCAGGGTCTCATGGGGATAGAAGATAGAAGGGATTTATAGGTTTGGGGGCCAGAGATGGAGACCTTGGCCCTGGCAGCCCTCACCTCTCCCCCTGGTGGGAGCCGTGGAGGCCATGTCTGGCAGGACCACCTTCAGGGTATGGGAAGCCAGTGAGCCATGGCCTGGACTCTGACAGGGAGGGAGATATGGCTCAAGGCTGCTCCCCACCAGTATAGCAGGGACCCTGACCATTCAGAAAGGACTCCAGTGACCACTAACTCCAGTGCCCCAGGTTTTAATTCTTTAATTGCCGGATGGTGGAGAAATCTGGGGATCCCAGAGAAAGACTAGTGTCATTGGTGTGGGGAGAAGACCCACAACAGAAGCTATTTGCCAGGTGGTTGGGAATATGCCAAGATTTTCTCAACTGCTATAGCCGTGAAAATGTGGACTGACTGAATGTGGACCTTGCCAAAACCCAGGGTCTGAAAGAGGTCTCTGTCCCTAATGCAGCGACATTTGTCCAATGTAAGACCATGTGTCCTCTTCTCCCTTCTCAGACTATGGAGGGGCCCTACAATATTTTTTTCTGAACCTTTTCTCTCTTTTTTCGTACCAGGGATTGAAACCAGGGGCACTTAACCACTGAGCTACATCCCCAGCCCTTTCTTTGTATTTTGTTTGGGGACAGGTCTCCCTGAGTTGCTTAAGGCCTCTAAGTTGCTAAGGCTGGCTTTGAACTTTAGATCCTCCTGCCTCAACCTCCCGAGCTGCCGGGATTACAGGCATGCGCCACCAGGCCCTGCTCAACATTTTCTTGTAAAATTTTCAAAACTACAGAAAATCTCAAAAGATTTTAAAAATGTTTTAGTGCATCTGAATGCCCACTGCGGGGATCCACTGTGAACATTTACCCCTATTTGCCTTATTACACATCTGCTTCTTAAGCCATTAATCCCTCCATCAGACCCCAGCAGTTTTTTTTTTTTCTTTCAGTACAGGGGATTGAACCAAGGAGCTACATCCCCGGCCCTTTTAATTAATTTATTTTTTATACATTTATTTATTCACTTTTTATGTGGTGCTGAGGATCAAACCCAGTGCCTCACATATGCTAGGCAAACGCTCTACCTCTGAGCCACAACCCCAGCCCCCTGGCCCTTTTGAGACAGGTTCTCACTAAGTTGCTGAGGCTGGCCTTGAACTTGTAATCCTCCTGCCTCAGCCTCCCAAGTGCCTGGGATTACAGGCATGCGTCACTGTGCCCAGCTAGACCCCAGGTACAGAGTCCAAAAGGGCTTATCCCTCAGAAGAGCACTTTTGAGTATTTCCCTGTAGCAGTTCCAGGAACAGGAAAGGAGAAAACATCACTGAGCTCAGGCCTAGAGTTAGGTGCCGGTGCCCCAGGGAGGGTGATGAGCACGAGGGCCCTGCTGAGGATTCCCTTCCCATCTGAGGTGGTGTGTGACAGACAACCAGCAGCTAGGAGAATGAATCGACCCACTGACCCAGAGCCCAGGTTAGGAAGGAGGCGGGCAGGGGCAGGTGTGTGCGGGGTCCAGTAGACGGCAGAGAGGGTGAGGCCAGGAGGCGGTGTCCCCTGGGAGGGGGAGGATGTGGGTGGTGGAGGCCAAGGTTGGGTGGGGGCAGCTGGGGTGCAGATGCCAGATGCTGGGTCCCTGGGGGCCCTACCTGTTTCCGACGGGATGCCTGGGGTAGCAGGAAGTGAAAGTGTCCTCTAGAGAGGAAGCTGGGCAGGCAGGGGGAAGAGGCGGGGCTGGGGGTATCTGAAATCAACCTTCCCCCCTCTTTCCGGGGGCTCAGGGCTTAGGAGATCGGACACTGAAGGAAGGGACTCTGACAGGTTTGGAGGCCAGAGCTCAAAGTCAGGAGGCCCATCCACCCTTAGGGTCCCCTCCTGGCACCCCTAGCTGTTCCTCTGAAGAGCCTGGAGAAGTCTGTGTCCTTAGTGGCTCAGGATCTCACCCCACCCGCTGGCTGCTTCAAGTACCCCCAGAAAGGAACACAGAGACCAGACAGCTGACGATTAGTTGGTTTTGGTTTTTTAATTTGTCTCCAAACAAACAACATCCTCTGCCCATCCCCACGTGGGCAGTGGGTCCCAAGGGGAGGGGGCCCAGCACCTACTTTGGGAGTTGGAGGCGGAGACCCAGGAGCCCTATCAGGCTCAGACCCTCCCCAACCACAGTGGGAGCTGTACTGGGAGGACCACACCCCGGTCTAGGGTAGGTTGGGTTTGATCTACTTGGCCACAGGTCCCTGAAGCAGTAGAGAGTGAGGGCCCTTGGCCCCCTTCGGTGACAGTTAGAAGTCTGGGGGCACCCCTGGCCTCCTGGGAGCAGTTAGAGGTTAGGGAAGGCTGCTCCTTAGAGGTCCTGGGCTGTTAGGTCAGGCTGCTTAGGCTTTGGCTTTAAGGGGATGTTAGAGATTTGCTGGGATAAAGTGGGGTGTGGCTAGGACCCCAGTTTTAGGAGGGAGTCATTAGGAGACTGAGGGGGCGTACGGCTCTCCCCAGAAAAGAGCTGTGAGTTAGAGGGGCCAGTGCTGGTTGGGGCTCTGCTGTCCCAGAGGGTCTGGGTGTCCTGCCTGCGAGTCGGGGCTGTCACTAGGGCTTTTCCGGCTCTGCGGTCCTGGCCCCGTCCTTGGTAGGAGGTGGGGACCTCCTGGGGGAAGCTACGGTGTTGGGGTTGGGGGCCCCTGACCCAGACTGGGCATCTATGCTGGCGTGCTCCCTCCGAACGAGGTCCTCCAGCTCTTTCTGCAGGGCAGAGTTGGCAGAAGTCAGAGGTCACCACATGCCAGAGGGTCAGAGGACGCGTGGGTTGGGTGGGGTCCAAGGACTGGGAACAGGGTAGGCTGGGGTCCCCCAGCCCCTCACCTTCCATCCGAGGAGGTCAGCGAGGGCCAGGCAGCCCTGGTCACAGTCACCCAGCCAGGCCACGTCCCTGCAGTGCGGGCAGGACAGTCAGCGGTGGCCGAGGCCAAGGCCTCTGCTGGTTCTTGTGGGTCCCTGGGCCTTCTGCCTCCCTCCCCCGGCACTGTCCCTTAAGGGCTGGCGCCCCACCGGCCTCACCTGTAGGCCTTCTTGGAGTCGAAGTCCATGCCTCTTCCCAGGCCCATCATCATGCCCAGGAAGGGGTCCGTCTGCAGGGGAGGGGAGACTGAGGGCACAGCCCCGGGGCCAGGTGCCTGGGCGGTGTCCCAGCTCTGGGATTTGGGTCAAGTGACTGGGCCTCTCTGGGACAGTCCTGGCACCCTGGGGAGGGCTGCAGCGCCACACACCCTGCCCTGCCCGCAGGCGCTGCCGCCACGGATTCAACTGGGTCGAAAAAGGTTTTTAAAAACTGCGTCTCCACCGGACACGTCCAGTCCCATTTTCTTGTCGTTATTCCCTAAACAACAGCCCCACAGCAGCGCTCCCCAGCGCTGACACGGTGATGCGTTCTAAGACACCTGAGAGGACGGAAAGTGCCCAGGGACGAGCGCAGGCCCTGGGCAAACCCTTACCACTCTACATAAGGACTCGAGCCTCCTTGGATTCTGGTAACCCAGGGGGTCCTGGAACAGTCCCCCTGGGGTGCTGGGGACAACTGTCCATGCTGGGAACATTATGTAGCCCACGGGATGCTTACTCAGGCCTGGCAGCTGTGTCCCCTGTCAGTCAGGGCGACACCCCTCCCCGGGAGGGCACGAGGCCCAGCTGGGGTTCCCCGAACCCCAGGAAACAGCTGGGGGGGTGGGGCAGCCCCGCCTGCGCTGGCCTGTCGCCACAGTCGCAGGCCCTGGGCCTGGCTTCGCACATCCCCTGGGCCTGACTCTTGGGTCCCAGGAAGCACTTCACTCCTCTTTTGTGGCTTTAGCAGGTTTGAGGTGGGCTCTGTCACTTGCTTGAAAGGGTCCCGAGTGACCCAGAGCCCTGTGGAGTCCGGGCAGCTTGGAACGTGACCGCTCCAATTCTTGACTCCTGAGTCCGAGCTGAGCAGCCCCAAGGCCTGGGACTCCCCAGCTGGAATTCTCTCGGGGACCTGTCCCCTCCTTCTCAGAAAGCCAGCGGGAGGGAGGCCCGCAGCACGGGAGGAGGGGAGGAAGGGCGACCGGTGACCCACCTGGCCCGTCTTCTCCTTGTTGATGAGCAGGCGCGGGGTGGAGAGGGGTGCCCTGGGGGCGGAGGGGTGGTCAGGCTCTGTCCTGGCCCATCCCCGGCCGTCCCCCCACCTGACCCCCACCTACTTGCTGACGAGGGAGGCGAAGGGCTGCACCTGCAGGGAGGTGCCCATGATGATGAGCAGGTCCACCTTCAGGAAGTCCTGCGCAGAGTGGCAGTGAGTGGCAGTGAGCTCGCCTCTGCTCATCCCGCAGCAGGCCCCCCACAGGTGGCTGGGAAGAGACCTTCCCCGCACAGGGGAGCAGGGGCGGGGACACTTACTGACTGCATGCAGGAGAAGAACCGCGCCGGGAGGTTCTCGCCAAAAAAAATGATGTCTGAGGTGGAGACAGATGGACGGACACAGAGACAGGAGGACACAGTGACACGGAGACAGAGAATATAGGCAGGAGGGGAGGCAGACCCGAGGCTGGGGGTGGAGTCGGGGAGTAGCGGGGACGGCAGGGGGACAGAACCCCAGTCTTCCCAGGACGGACGGGGGCACTGGCTGGGGAGCAGGAGTGGCCGGGGCTGGGGCGGGCAGGCGCGGCCTCTGGGAGAGGTCAGCGGGGCGCAGGCTCCCTGGCCTCGGGCTCACCAGGTTTCACCACACTCTGGCACTTCTCGC